GGGTTGGCAGGGGGGGACAGGGGGTGCCAGGAGTTGTCAGGGGATGGCAGGGGGGGACAGGGGTTGGCAGGGGGGGACAGGGGGTGCCAGGGGTTGTCAGGGGATGGTAGGGGTAGGCAAGGGTCAGCTGCTGACACGGTCTCCGGTCCCGCTCGCAGGCGATGAGAGCAGTGACCTCGTCCGGCACTTCCTCATCGAGTGCTCTGCCAAAGGGGTGCACCTGAAAGGAGCCAGCGAGGAGCTGTATTTCGGTAAGGAGGGTGCCCTCGCCCCCAGCCCGGGCAGCCCCAGGAGTGGTTCTCAAAACCCCTCAGGGCAGTGGCCGTGGCTGGGACTGCTCCTCAGCCCTGCATGAGGGGGTTGGCATGGGGGGGCTGCCAGCCCCTGGCCCCTGCCCACCCTTCTCTGCCCAAGGCTGTGCTAATAGTCTCACAGAATCACAGAATCTTCATGGTTGGAAGGGACCTTTGAGATCATCGAGTCCAACCATACACACACACACACACACACACACACAAAAAAAAGCCCCAACAATCTCGGGCACTAGAGCATGCCCTGGAGTGCTATGTCTCCAAAGCAAGAACATGGGGTGGAGGTTGTAAAACCCACTTTTGTTGCTGTGAGACCCCAAATAGTCCAGTTTAGCACCCCCCTCCCCTCCTTCTGAGGTCCCTGGGGCAGTCAAGGGACCAGAGGCACAACGGTGGGAGGTTTTGGGCACCAGGCCCCCTCACCAACGTGTGGTTCTGTGTTGCAGGGAGCCTCTCTGCCTTCGTGTACCAGCACGCCATCACCCCGCTGGCACTGCCCTGCAAGCTCAGCATCCCCACCAGAGGTAGGTGCTGGGGGCAGGAGAGATGCTCCCAGTGGTCCCTTCCTGCTGGTCTGGGGAGGTGGGGATGGTCTCGCAGTGCGGAGGGGGCTAGAATGCCTGGGTGCCCCCACAATGGGCCCAGTTGCCCTGGCTGTCGGTGGAGTGGGGACCTGCAGGAGCTGACTGGAGCAGGAGATGGTGGTGACCTGCTTCTGCTGGGGCTGGAGGGCGGTCAGCAAAGCAGGGGAGCAGGGGAACGCTGAGGGTGGGTGAGGAAAGGAGCAGTGGGGAGGTCAGAGAGGAACGGAGCCAGGAGAGGGAGAGGGAGGACAATTAAATTAATTACTTCTCCTCGTTTGTGCAGATCTTGCTGATGGAGAAGACAGCCCTGACTGCGCCTCAGAGACCACACCATCCCTGCTGAAGAAAACTGCTGGTGAGCAAAGGAGGAGGCTGCTGGCCCCAGGGGACTCTGGAGTTGGCAGGAGCTGGAGCTCTGGGCAGGCACCGTGCTCGGGCGTTAGTCCCTCCCGACCAAACACCAGGCTCGATTTTTTTATTTATTTTTTGGTGTCATCTGCTCTGACACCATTCACAGCAGAAGCTGAGGAGTCCTCGGCGCTGTGCAAAGCAGCAGGTCACCCCTGGGCATCTGTGGGTGCCGGTGCCATGTCCCCCTCCTGCCTTTGTCACCAGGCTGGGGGTACCTGCAGGTTTCCTCCACGTCCTCAGATCGCAGGCTTTTAAGGGAAACTGGTATTTTGAAAGAAAGGAGACTTTTGGGCCTTACAATGGTGAGGAAAAGCTTGAAAAAACAATCCCTGAGATCCCAAGGCTGATGAAAGACCCACAATTCCCACAATTTTAAACAGCCCCTGATTTTTAAGCCTCTCTCCAGGACATTGGAGTCTCTAGGAGAGGGACAGGGCAGTCGGGGGCTGATTAAATCCCTGAGGGACCTTGTAGGAGATGGAGGGAGGTGGCACAGCAGGATGGGGAAGGGTCTTTGCTTCTCTTCCACCCCCAGGTGCCCCCAGCCTGGCTGTGGTGGTGGGTGGGCTCCAGGTGAGAGCAGAGAGCGACGGGCAGGAGGTGGCCCGGGTGGGTCGGGGCACAGGCAGGGGAGTCGGGAAACGCATTTTGTTTTGCTGGAAATTCTGAAAAATAAGTTGGCAAGCTGAAAAGTTTAGTTTGACCCAGAACAGCCCTTTAAACAGCTCAATCAGCCTGAAATGTCATGTTTTAGGTTGGCCTTCAGCCGTTGGTTGGCTTGGGGTATTTCTGCTTTTCATTAAAGGAAATATGTAATAAACAGAAGAAAAAAAAAAAAAAACAAAAAAAAAAAAAAAAACCAACAAAAACAACCCAAATGTGACATTTAAAAAACCGGAAATTAAATACTTTGACTTTTAAAACAATTAGCGCAAAGAATTAGGGTAAACCAAAATAAATCTGTGAAGAATCTCTGAGTCACCAAACCTTTAATTTTCATCAAAACAAACCCGACCCAGGGCCGTGTGTCCGGTTCCGCAGGACGGTGCCCATGCTCGGCGCCGCGGGTCCCCTCCTGAGCGGGGCTCTTGTGCTCTCCTTGCAGTGTGCAACGTCCTGTACCTCAACTCGGTGAACGTGGAGACGCTCACGGGGGCTCCGGCCATCCAGAAGGCCATCTCCTCCACCTTTGAGCTGGAGATGCTGCCCACACCCACCCTGGTGCACTTCAGGGTGACGGAGCAAGGAGTGACGCTCACCGACGTCCAGAGGAAGTAAGAGCTGCCCCGGGAGGGTCCGGGGTGGGGGGGCTGCTGCCAAAGGGTTAATTGGTGGTGAGGTGTGGGGCAGAGCTAATTGGTGATGGAAGCGCAGCTCACCCGTGACCACCCAGCTCTATCCCTGCCCCGGATCTGCAGGGAGAACTGTCTTCCCAGGGCAAATCCGTGTTGCAATCCAGGGATGGATTTCATAGAATCGTAGAATTGCCCGGGTGGGAAGGGACCTTTCAGCTCATCGAGTCCAACCATCAGCCCAACGTTGACAAAACCCATCACTAAACCCCATCTCTAAGCACCACTTAAAAGCTTTTAAATCCCTCCAGGGATGGTGACTCCACCACTGCCCTGGGCAGCCTCTTCCAAGCCTTAATAACCCTTTCAGTGAAAATTTTTCCTTATTATCCATCCTGAACCTCCCCTGGTGCAACTTGAGGCCGTTTCCTCTTGTCCCATCGCCTGTTCCTTGGGAGAAGAGACCAACCCCCCCTGGCTACACCCTCCTTTCAAGTTTCAGATGTGACCCCTTCTGTGACAGCACAGGGGACGGTGCTGCTTTGGGTGAAGCTCGTGGCAACACCTCGAGTGGGAGGCAGGAGCTGGCTGAACCCCAGTTTGGGGGCAGCCCTGGGGTGCAGGACCCCCACACCCCCCATTCCCCAGCAGCCACAACAGTTCAAGCAGGGCTCGGATGTGCAAAAGGCTGTTTCTCCCACCAGCTCTGCCTGGGCTCTTTCCCCCTCTCACGTCTCACTCTCCTCCTCCTCAGGGTGTTCTTCAGGCGACACTACCCCTTGGCTGCCATCAGGTTCTGTGGGATGGACCCCGAGAACAGAAAGTGAGTTATTGGCCACTCCGTGGGCTGAGCTCTTGCTTCCCCGGGGTTCCCGGAGGGGTTCCCGGCTCCAAATCCCAAATCCCAGCCAGGCTGGGCAGCCCCTGGGTTTGGCTCCATACAAACCTTGGCTTTGTGGCTGGTGGGACGAGTTAAATGTCACTCTTCTGAGCAAATCCCATTCTGTTCTTCCCTCAGGTGGCAGAAGTACTGCAAGTCCTCGAGGTGAGACCCATGTGGGGACATCCCGCAGCCGGAGCGTGATGGTGGGATCCCCGGGGAGGGGGGGGAGATGCTGCTTTGACCCAGCAAAGCTTCACAGAGCAATGAGGAGTCAAAGCTTAAAAATTAAGAGGGGATGTGATAAAAAATAACGCAGGATGAGACGTGGGACGGATGGGTGAAGCTTTGGGGGGTGGGTTGCTGTGTAGGTTTTGATGAGAGGCTTGGCAAAGCCCCATTCTTTGCACCCCCCCAAGTAGGAAGCCCCCGTCCCAGCCCAGTGATGGGCTCAGGAAGTGAGTTTCTATCTGGCTCTACCTTGCCTTCAAGAAACTTTTCACAGCTGGGGGAGCCTTGCCAGAAACACTTCTCCCGGCTGTTTCCCTTCCAAGTAAACGTGATCGGGGAGCGGGCCAAGGTGGAATTGCTGGAATCAAGGTTTTGCTTTGTGGCCGGGGCGAGTTGAAGCCTATTCCTCTGGGTTCCTGGATGCAAACTACATAAGGCTCTCTCTCTCTCCTTTTCCAAAGGATCTTTGGGTTCGTGGCCAAAAGCCAGACAGATTCGGAGAACCTCTGTCACCTCTTTGCGGAGTACGACAACGTGCAGCCGCCGTCGCTTGTCATCGAGCTTCTCTGCAAGCTGCTGCTGGGGCCGTAGAGGACAGAACCATGGGGAGATCTTGGGGCTGGCAGCGCTGCCGAGCTTCTGCCACTCACCCTTCCCTGCTCCTGGGTTGCATTTTGGCAACAGCTCATATTTATAATTTTTTTTTGTTACATACTGTCAAGTCCGGAGTCTCCGTTAAAGATTTTTGTGCTCTGCTGGGATGAGATGTTTCTCCAAGACCCTCCGTGTGGGAGGGATGGCTGCCCCCGGGGAGCGGAGCTGTGGGACAGGAGCTGGGCTCACCGTCCGGAGCCCCTGCATCCCCCCCTGCCACGCACCCTTCCCTTTGCTCTGCAGGACTCTCATCCTCTGGCTGATATTTCTCTGGGCAGCAGGGGCTGCCTGCACTTGGGGTGTCCAAGCCCAGGAGCGTTTGATGGAGCTGAGCTCCAGGACTCAGCCCTGGGACGGGGGGTCTGGAGCAGGCTGGGGGGGGTGGACTCACCTCCCTGACAGCAGACCAGCATCAGCAGGCAGCTTTGCAAATCAAAGCGTATAAAATCACTAGGCCCTGCTGAAAAATCCTGTTTCCCTCGAGGAGCAAGAAGCAGAAATGTCAGAGCAGCGTGGTGTTGCCTGGTGCTGGTAAATGCTCCTGCCCTTTTTTGCAGAGCGGGGTTACGGGCTGGCTCAGCCTCCAGGCATCACGGCGAGCTGAGAAATAAATGTTGACATTTTCATGACAGTAAAACGTCGGTTTTTTGGAAATGACTTGCATGAATTTGGGCCAGATCCTGAGATGACGTAAATTGGCGCAGCCTCGTGGAGGTCGGTGCTGCCATGATTTACACCAGCTGAAGGTTTAGCCCTCGCTGTGATCTCAGAGTGGGGTAGAGCAGCTCCGAGTCCACCCTCCACCCCGCTCCCTTAGCGCTCGCTTACTCGACGTTGGTTTAATTTTGGATCCTGTGCTAACAAACCCTGCTTAGGGGCATTTTCCATAAAGCAGTGGATCATTCCTCTCGCCACAAACACGGCGGAGCTGTGAGCAACCAAAACAGGCTCCTCTGCTCCCTGGGAGTGCCAACATACGCATGGGTTGCACATAGAGAACGAGTCCCTCTCCTCCAGCCGGGCTGGGGAAGGGCATTCAGCTGCAACGGCTCTTTGGCAGCGATAAAAACAGATATGGTCACTGTGTGGGGAGAAAGGAGGGGCTTTGTGTCCCCCCGGGGTCTGTCTGTCCTGAGCTCTGCTCAGCCAAAACCCAGCACCCAGCCCCTGACCCCCACCCGCCGCTGCCGTCCCCATCGTGACGCAGAGACCCCGGGGAATGCGAAGCCCCAGGGCGATGGGCAGCTCGGGGGGACGTGGCTCAGCCCCAGCACCCTGAGGTTGTGCACCCCCGGCCCTGCAGGGACCCCCCCCGGGGCCCTGGCGGGGTGTGCAGGATGTGACCCACTGCAGTGCGTGCTGCAGCCGGCAAGGGGCCCCAGCACAACGCTGTCCCTCTTGCCTGTGCCCTGCCTGCCTCCTGCCCTGAGCCCTGCCTGAACCCTGCCCACCTCCTGCCTGCACCCTGCCTGCCTCCTGCCCTGAGCCCTGCCTGAACCCTGTCTGCCACTGCCTGCACCCTGCCTGCACCCTGCCTCCACTGCTGCCTGCACTGCTGCCTGAGCCGCTGCCTGCACCGTGCCTCCGCTGCTGCCTGTGCCCTGCCTGCGCTGCTGCCTGCACCCTGCCTGTGCTGCTGCCTGAGCCGCTGCCTGCACCCTGCCTCCACTGCTGCCTGCGCCCTGCCCGCATCCAGCCTGTGCCCTGCCTGCACCCTGCCTCCTGCCTCCTGCCTGCACCCTGCCTCCTGCCTCCTGCCTGCACCCTACCTGCACCCTGCCTGCACCCTGCCTGCCTCCTGCCTGCATCCTACCTGCCCCCTGCCTGTACCCTGCCTGCCTCTTGCCTGCACCCTGCCTGTGCTCTCCCTGTCCCCTGCCTGCCTCCTGCCTGCATCCTACCTGCCCCCTGCCTGTACCCTGCCTGCCTCCTGCCTGCATCCTGCCTGCACCCTGCCCACCTCCTGCCTGCACCCTGCCTCCTGCCTGCATCCTGCCTGCATCCTGCCTATGCTCTCCCTGTGCCCTGCCTGCATCCTGCCTCCTGCCTGTGCCCTGCCTGCCTCCTGCCTGCATCCTACCTGCACCCTGCCTGTACCCTGCCTGCCTCCTGCCTGCACCCTGCCTGTCTCCTCCCTGCCTCCTGCCTGCACCCTGCCTGCCTCCTGCCCTGAGCCCTGCCTGAACCCTGCCCACCTCCTGCCTGCACCCTGCCTGTGCTCTCCTTTGAGCCCTGCCTCAACCCTCCCCCCCTCCTGCCTCCACCCTGCCTCTGCCCTCC